TAGAGAGCTCCCTCCCATCTGCAGGTCTCCGTCTTTTAAACTCATCTTCAGGTGATAGAAGGCTGACTTTGGAACTGTGTTTATGTGTCTCTGAAGGTTCAGGTCTGAGTTCTTCGCTTCACCCAGATTTCGGGCAGCTAGTTTCTAGCTGTAATAACTGAAGCTGTGTGTTGATTCTAGATCGCTCCTCCTTATTTTCAAAGATGAAAAACTGTAGTTTTGTTTCTGTTCGTCTGGAGAGCATCCTCCTAATTTATTGTTTTATCCACTTTGTGCAACGTTTAAGTACCTCTGGCAGCCAAGCCCTACAGCATGATGCCGCCACCACCATGCTTTATGGTCGGTACAGTGTACTTATAAAGTCTCGTCTCAACACCTCCACGCATATCTATTGTCACTTTGGCCAAACAGCTCAATCTTTGTCTCGTTTGAACATCAAACTTTTCTCCGGAAGACATTTGGCTGCGAGTTCTGCACGTCGGCTGTACTTTGCCAGTAAGGCTCGATTGAGACAAGATTATTCTTAGGTTGCTCCCAAACGTCCTAACCAATTCCCTTTAATCTGTGGTGAGCTGTTGGACCTAAAATTATGGACTTCAAGTTTTCAAATGACCTCACAACCCCTCCAAAGAATCTTTGCTTCTCAGGGTCATAGCTAATATCCTTCTACCTTGACGTGTGTTTGCAATTAAATCTACTGAGTGATTTTTTTTATTTTTTTTTTTTTTTATCCGTATTTAAGTGAGTCTGTTTGGGAAAGTTTAATATTTTCTCTGTGTGTGATGTTAAAGGGGAAAACTTGCCACAGTTTAGCAGATTCTGTGGGAGATGAAGCAACACGTTTTCTGATCCCTTCAAGCTTTCAGATCAAACAGGAAGTGCCGTAGGAACACAAAGCACTCGGGTTTCGCAGCCACGCCATGCTCCAAGACGAAACGGAAGCCAGTTTCTTTCACAAGCCAACAGTTTGGTTTTACTTTGGTTCTCCTTGCAGTCTGCTACCTGGTTGGACCTGAAACTGAATGCGTGGTTCACCAGAAAACTACGCGACGGAGTCAGAAGGATTCGGGTTTGGTGAGAAGTGGCTGGTTTGCGGGAAACCAACACACACAACAGAGCAGATTCATGAGCGTCGTTGGACGTGTGAATCACGAATGTCTTGCAAAACAGCACTTAACCGGCTCAGAGTAGTTAGCTCACCAGTCTTCCGGCTCATGCTGGTTTGATTTGAAACATAAGAATCGTTCTGTCTGATGCGGCATCAAAAACCGCAGCTGAATAAATGAGGCTCTTTGTCCAAGCGGAGTGGGCTGAGAGAGAGAGAGAGAAGGTCAGCTGAGTCAGACTCCATGTTGAGGAGAGAAACGCAGCTCAACGGTACGTCTTCCCTCGTCGGGCTAATAAACTAAAACTGTTCAGATGTTTAGATTAGTATTCATTTACCACAAGGGTTTTATAAGTCGAAGGCAACAGTACCGTTTCTATAAACTGCTGTTAGACATAAAGCTGCTGTTTTTGCAGGATCTGCTCCTGTGTTTTGAGAAGAGTCTTGTTTTTCATTTGGACACAGACACTGAGGGCTGTGTGTGCTGAAAGCTCAGCCCCGTCATTAAGTTTTATTGCATACCAAGAGCCGCTTCTCATCCACACATAATGGAAATAAATGGCTTGTTAATTTAGGGCTTTTTTAAATTTATTTGAAATGGCCCATTACCAGGGTGGAGTAATTAAACAATTACAATGGTCTTTAAAAGCACAAGTTTAAATTTTCTGATTTTTACAAAGTCTCCAAATTATACACTGTGATTTAAACGTATGCAGTACATCCCCACTGATGTTTGCTGGAATGGCTCTCAGCAATTTGCACCTTGTTACCATCAGAGAGCTTCAGGTCTGATTCTGGTTGGATCTCTGCCTGCTTTTCTAGCCAGGATTGATATAACTCATTCAAACTTGTTGATTTCCTGGCCAATATCAGGAAACCTTCAAATTTTCAATTGTGTTTAGATCGGGCCTTTTGTAAGCGTATTCCCACACCCTTAATGTTAAAATCAGCTTGTGTTTTGGATGGGTTGTTCTGTTGGAACACCCAGTTACATCCAAATTTCAACCATGTAGCTTTTGATTTTGGGTGAAGATGAAGGTTTTTGGACATGGTGTGAGTGTTGAGCCTCACTGTGTGGACATCGACACTGGTGCTCCAGCAGTTTCCAGTTCATGGCTGGGTTGATCCGTAGCGGTTCCTAAACATCCCAGCGAATTTCCTTTCAGCATATGGGAAGAGTTTGAATCCTCCTCCAGGCCTCATTAAAGTGGTAACGTGTCTGACTACCTTGTACCTTTTGTAAAATAGTTTAAACTGTTGACCTTGCACTCAATCATAACCACTAACAAGCCTCGTTGAGTTAAAGATGCTGTCTGGAAACGTTAGCACCACTTATTAAGACATTTTGTCGAATATATTTCAACTTGTATGTCTAATTTAGTTTGGAACGGTTCAGTTCATTAGTGGGATGCGTATGTGACCGCCTCCAACAAACGTCTCTCTGCAGTGAGTTGGACTCGGTCATGGAGCGCCGCCTGGAGGAGATGGAGCGGAGGCTGAAGGAGCACATGGACCGGCGGCTGGACGCTCTGGAGCAGAAGCTGGAAAAGGCCCTGCTGATGGCGGCTCTGAACCATGGAGCTGTGGGCGGACCGCCGAGAGGAACCGCTCCGATTGGGCCTTCGGATCACATCCACCCAACTCCAGCTGCAGACTGAGCTCAGACCAGCTAGCGCACTCACTCGTCATGTAACTGGAGGCCTTACAGCGCTTGTATTAAACCAGACATTGGTGTCAAGAGTTACCAGGCATGGTGACGGAGAGGACGAAGTCACCTTTAACGCATAAAACTGTAACAAATTTCACCTGAAATGTCAAAACTAGACACTAAACGACAAAGTGTTTGCTCTCCAGTCGAATCTGCAGTTTCTGCTTTCCTGCCACGCTGCCGGTTTAAAGGTTAAGTCAGTGAGACACTATGTTGTGGTTGAGCATCCTGAGTGCAACATAGGGCCACAAAGTGTCTGAAAACAATGCAATAACACTCATTAAACCTCAGTGTTTATGACTAAAATCAATTCAAAATAAACTGTAATAAAGAATAAACTCATATTTTAACAGACCGCAGATAAATCTGCAGCAGATTGTAATGTAATGCAAGTTTTCCTGCATCGCTGATTGAGGCATAGCACCAGCAGAGGGGTTGTCTTTCCACTTAAAGCATCTCTTTTTGCTTTGAAGCTTGCAGTCCATAAGTGAGACGAACAGCCGAGAGGATTAAACTCCCTGAAATACGAATTGAAAACTCATTTGTAGGTCTGACCCTGTTTGAGCCGGTGTGTTCTCTCGATCTTACAGGGGTGAAAGCTGATGATGTAACTTATTTTAATGATCACATTTTAAATGTTTTAGATACTGTACATGTCTGTAAGCTATTAAGCAGATTTATAACTTGTGGAGTTAAACTGTACTGATGTGAGCCACAAATAAAATGTGTTTAATACCAACGGAGCAGCGTCGGTGTTGTGCAGGAAACTTTCAACACAACGGAGGTAAAGCTGAGATGGTGGTAGCAAGGAAAGAAATTAACAATTCAAAATAACAGTACTTGTTCTGCGCTTTCGGTAAAACGGCCAGTGGTTGAGGAGCAAAGATGCTCTCCTCATGTCTGATGTTGCAGGGATTTTTCTCTTTAGTTCAAGAATTTAGGGAAATTATTTGTTCAGCATTAGAAAGTAGTAAAACATAATCTATTTTAAATGTTTTTAAATGGTTTGCAGTCAGAAATGCAGAAATTTATACAGTTTTTGCTTTTTTTGTTGTCACTTGTTTACGTTCTGGATCATGACATTTTAATATCAGACAAAGATAACAGTTAATGCAAAAAAAAAAGTAGTTGGTAATTGTATATTCATTAAAGGAATAAAAAGTAATCCAAAACATTGTTTAATAAGAAGTAACTGCCTCCCTTGTTTAGTCGTGACGATATTTATGGAAAACTCAGTTCAGTTTCACTAAGCCGCACCTGGACCTGTAAAATGAAGAACACACTTAAACTTAACCTGACAACCATATGGAAAAAGCAACTCATCATGCCACAATATAAAGAAATTCAAGAACTGATGATATTCTCTATTAGTCTAGAAAAAGCCATTTCTAAAGTTTTGGGACTTTGTGGAGCAACAACGAGAGCTGCTATAGAGAGATTGATAAGAATATAGAGCAGTGAAAGATAACGGGGGATGGCTATCAGTGTTTTGCTAGCAAAGATAAAGGCTATTCTACCTATAGTTCTGCCTTTGTACTTTTAAACACTATTCAGTGTTTAATTCTAAGTTCATTGTTGAAAGACACTTGAGAAGGAATACAGAATCAAAAGCTGCAATAAGTATAAAAAAAATAATCTCCATGTCCAATATCAAACTGCTAAAATACAAATGTACATGTGCGACATTTGCCACAAACATGGCGCCAGTGTTTTTTTGTGTTATAGCACCACCAACTGGCCCGGCATACGTATGTCTTCTGCGGCACTGCACCCTGTTGTGTGGATGCGCATTTTCTAATTTACAAAAAATATATTGTGCTCGATGTGTTCGGGCCATAAATGTGGCTTCTCCAACATTTGGCTTTGGAAATGTTTTTACCTTGCAGTTCAAACTTGGGTCTGCAGTCTAACATCTCTGTACTTAAGGGAAACTAAGTTCCAGGAAATTCTGGATCCACATGAAATCAAAGTTCTTCAGAATAAATAGATACGTTTGTGCCATTGCAGATTTTGTTAAAGTAGGATTTCATTTTTCCCAACTGAATTGATGTGTATATTTTCCTTTTCTTTAGTATTAAGCTCCAGCAACAAAATATATCTATACTTTTTTTTATTTTTACACACCTTTACCAGCAAATTGCTGAAATCAGAATGCTGTGAGAACATTGTTTTTTTTTTTTTTTTCAAAAATAATTTTATTCTCCTTTTTGACAACATTGTCATCAAACACAAAGAGAAAACACTTTAACAAAATATTCCCTCATGAACATGAATATACAGTAAATGGTGAACTACGGTGACCTGCAGTAACCTCTCTGCACAACAGGTGTTAGGCTATAGAAGATGAGAGACGACGGAAGGTAAATGGAGATTAGTAAAAGAGCTAACGTGAAGCTTCAGCCTGAGGAGTAATGAGCCTCTCAGAGTGGGAGGAAGGATTTAGAGAAAAAGGGAAGTTCTACAGCCGCAGCCTCACACACACACACCCTCCAATTGGATGCTCGTTTCATTCAAAGTGTTCATGATTGGTCGAGAAGCTCTGAGAGCCGACTCGCGATTGGTTGACTGCTTCAGCTCTCACGCTGATTGGCTGCTCTCTTTAGCTGAGAGGTCAAGGGTCAATCTCCTCTGGGATGATGGTCAGGATGACGTCCTCGTTTCCCCGCCTCACCACCGTCCGCAGCTTGTCGTCCCGCTTTATGGCGTTGCTGACATCGGTGGCCGAGGTGACAGGATCCCCGTTGATGCTGATGATGACGTCCCTCTCCTTCAGGCCAGCTCTGCCTCGGAGAAATCACATGTTGGAGTGAAACAAGACGATGTACTCTGCCTAAACCTGACTGGTTCAAAACCAAATATGCAAACTATACACAAACTGGACAAATTGGAATTTCTAAAATTGTCCTGATAAGGCCCAACTCATCTTTGTTGAGTTGGGCCTTTGTACATTTATTGCTTCCACTGCCAGCTCAAAAAACTTTTACTTGACATTTCAACTCAACAGGATTACTAACAAGAAAAACTCAAGTATGAAAGTCAACAGGACTACAGAAAAAACACCACATGACCAGAAATCAAACATCCCTGGCTGTTTTCACAGTTGGAAGACTGCAACTTGGTTTTCATCTGGTTGCTCAGAAATTTCTCTGAACACCAAATATTTTTTCACCACCCAGTTTTTATAACGTCTGGCAGCAACTGAGGGAATAACTGTGCGACTTGTAAATGAAGTGGTCTCAGAATCGGACGAAAACATCTTTAAAGTTTCTCCTGAGAAAACAGAGCACTCACGCCTCGGCTGGTGTTCGGCTGATGACTTCGATGACGTACGCCCCTGAAGTGATGTCGGGGAAGTCCGAATGCCTCTCCTTCAGCTCCTTTGCCAGCCTGAGGGAAAAAAAAAAAAAGAAAAAAGAAGCGGTGAAAACCTTCAAAACACATCAACCATGATACTCAACTGGGTGACGTCTGATTCTAAAACATTAACTGGCACTAAGAGGTTTAAAACTCTGCAAAACATTAAATAAAAAATTGTATTATTGTGGCATCTCCTTTGTCAATAACTGTGAATTTGAATGTCTTTAACATGCCACGATTGTGTTGCTACTTTTGTTGCAGAAGCGAATCTGGAATTAATCTAACTTTTCCAGTCCTCGTCTGCTAAAAAAGGGTTTCCAGCACTCTACTTTGTGTTGTGAATAAAGTACATTGAAAGTTTTGGCTGAAATGTGACAAAAGGTGAAGAATGTGACATAAACGATTTTCAAGGTCATACCAATTATGTGACACAGGCAGTTAAGCTTCAGTTCCTCTTTTGGGATCTTTAAATTTAAACAAACTGAGGCAGATTCTGGCCGTTTCTCTGATTTGGAGCGGGTCTTCCTCCTCCTCTCTGGCTGCTCTCCTGTTCTTCTATCCCTGCCTGTTTCCAGCTCAGAATTGGCAGCAGGTAGCTAAAGATGAACTAAAACATTTTCAGTCTGCTCATCCTTGTTAGGTGGAAAACCCCGGACCGCCCTCGGCTCACCGTGTCACCATGTTAGAGACAACAGGAATCGGGGTACGTGTTTGTAACTGTGGAAACCAAAGCTCTGGCATCAAGATGATTCTTTTATTGATCATGTACAGGAATGAAATGTGATGCAGTCTGGAACAGAAACTTACGACGGAGTGAGACTCATCATTCTGACGCCGATGTATTTCTTCTTTGGTAATGTTTTCCCTGTGGGAAGCAAAAAAAAAAAAAAAAGTCGATGTTAGCAGATGTTTTTAAAAACCTCCATTAGAAGTCTGCAACATTTAAATATACTGTCAACGTTTTAGAGGATCATGCTAAACACAAGTCACTCCAAAGGACTTAATACAAAGAACTTTAATGCTTGGAATAAATGCATTTCACTGGAAATGATGACTTTTATTACTGCAGCCAACTGGTCCCAATCACGGCTGACTGTACACACAGCTGGGTCAACTCTTTTTAACCTCGTATCGTGACAGAGTTTTGGACTATTTGCTTTTAATTACGTCATGGTTGCTTGGCTTGTAGCGGGTCCTGTAATGTCCTGTGTTAACGTCAGGACAAAGGGAACCCGATCCAGTGAAAGTCGTGTTGCTAAGTGAGATGCGCTTGGTCTGATTTACTATTTGAGTTTTCCTCAAGAACAAAGAAAATGTTTTTTTTTTGATTATGAGCTGCAATAATGTGAAATTCAGTTTTGTTTTTGTTCTAAAGTCCAGGCCTGTCTAGTAGAGTGAAAGCAGCAGAACGAGGTCAAGTGACAACTTTACAAAGTGGTATTTTTAAAGACGTCCTGTTTTAGAAGGTCAAAGGTGACTCACACCGCACTAAAATCCACCCAGAAAGACGGAGCCACACGCCAAGAGTCCTGAGTCAGTCTTACTGAGAGACGTAAATGCAGTAGCAGCAGAGAAACATCTCCATGTTTGTTCTGTATCTACAATAAAGCCCAGCGACTAGATTTCTTTTTATTTAGTCAAGTGTTTGTAGCATTAAGTTTTAAAATTAATTGTGAAATGTAGCTGAAACAAAACAAGTTAGTTTCTGTATGTCAAATTGGTCTTATAAGTGATGTTAAAGCTATAAAAGATGCTTTCAGCTGAAGGAGGAAGAATTTAAAATGGCAACTTTATGATTTGACATCATGTTTTTTTTTTCTACGTCTTATCTGACTCTAAATTTTCTTTATTCGTTCCATAAAATTGTTTTGTTTGTGATAAAGTGGCTTTTTCACCAACAATCCAACCCATGATTTAATATAAATTCAAATAAAAATCAAACCTTTGAGTCATTTAGTTTCATTATTGGCAACACCTTTTGGAAATGAAACAAAAATTGTTTCTCTTCTGTGGTTACAGCTGAATAAGCTGCATATTTCAGAAAAAAGAGAATCTGTGACTCAAAGTAAAAACCAAAATCTCCAGAAAAACTGTTGCGATTTACAACTGTTGCGATTAAATTATCAGCACAGAATCCATTTGTTGCGTATTATCGACGACTGGCAGAGTGGCAAACCTTTGGCCTGCCGGTCATGTGACTCTGCCAGGAACTGTCTGATCTTGTCTGACGGGATGGCAAAGGAGATGCCGGCAGTGACCTTCAGAGTGTTGATGCCAATCACCTCCCCGTCCTGCAAAAACAACAACAGGCTCGCGTCATTTCACGAGCAATTCAAGGAACACGGCTGAAAATCAGAGTCAGCTGTGGACCTGACGTCGCCTGCCAAGCGTTACCTAAACTGATTATTTGGCTTCGACTAATGAGAACTTAGCGATGCTCGATGTTTGTTTGCACATCTGACATCTGTTAAGTAATATCTCGGCTGAGGTCGAGTGTTATAAAAAGTTCTGTTTTTGTTTTACAGATTTCATAAGGCCAATCAGAGAAAAAAAAAAAAGCTTTATGGGACCGGTCCATGTTTATTAGAGGAGTGGAATCCATTGTGTTAAAATATTAAAGTCAAAGTGGAAAAGTCATTAAAATCGAAGCTTGAACGTCTAATATGTGAATCAGAGTCCAATGCAAAACAAATTTCACGCTCCATATGTGCGAAGCTGGGAGAAACAAAATTCCTAACCCATGCATCAACGTTCAGTCGTTTTGTTGGCTAATCCTGCAAAAGTCACACAAAAACACGACGAAGTCTGTGGTTGCGACCTGGCAAAATGTGAAATATGCAGGCGTTTTCCTAAACACCGCTGTTGTGTCTGCTAAGGAGGAAAGAAACCGTGTTGTTGAGTGAGATATGAGTCATTCAAGTCGGAACAACAGCAACAAACATGTCGATTTGCGTCACCTCATATCTTCTCCACAAGCAGACTGGGAATATGTCTCAGATAATGGGATCAACATACATGTTCGATATTTACATATGTTGAACAAAATGCACACAAGAAATTTCAAACTTACCAGGTTGACCAATGGCCCTCCCGAGTTTCCGTACTGCAAGAAAACAAACAAGATGAAACTTTCATTCCACTGAGTTCACATTCATTATGACAGCTGCTGCTTATAGGTGATAAAAAAAAGGGGAATAAGAGTTTCAAACAGGTAAAACTTGCAAACAGCTTAGAGATTTTTTTTTACTTCTTGTAAGCCTCGCTCTCCTGCTCCTCCTGTGCGTTCACTCACGTTAATAATGGCGTCCGTCTGGATGTAATCCATGTCTGAATTGCGGAGGCCCAGCTCCTTGCCCCCTCTCTGGGTGGTGCTGACGATCCCCGTGGTGACGGTGTTCTGCAGGGAGAACGGGCTGCCGATGGCGACCACGAACTCGCCAGGGCGGAGGTCCGCAGAGCGGCCGAGGAGCAGCACGGGCAGCTTCGTCTGCACGGGATGGACAAGGCGGAGAAAATGGTGAAATCAAACAAAATCAAAGCTTTCTGTTATCGGCCAGGCTCAAAAGTGACACGAGTTTGTAGATTTTGTTTTATCTGGTTGACATTTTTAAATTGTCTTTAAGTCATTATAGATTCTGATTACCTTCATGTTCATGCATCACAAAGAGCATCCTTAGCTCAAACAGGTTTATTTGATAATGCCGACACATTTTCACAGTATTTCGCTGCATTTGTTTTTGCAGAACTTCTCAAACTTCACCTCTGGAAGCTGCTGCTGAGAACTTTACGGTTTTCTAAATGACCAAGTAAGCCACCACATACGTCCCATGTTTTTTTGGCAGTAATAGTACAGAACTGGCCTGAATATGCTTGTAAGAATTAAAGATGATTACTCAACCGGTAGTTTTAGAGCTGAAACTCGTGTTTATAACATTAATTGTTCTGTACGAACAATTAGTTCACACACAAAGCAGCACCCAAACACACAAGCGATGCTTTATTTTTCTTACTGCCATGTGAGAGACAGATGTAGCAAGTCAGCTCGCCCTCTGGTCGAGCCTCTAAATCAGCGCAGCCGATGACATGCACGGTGAGGGGAAAAACGGGAGGAGCTGGGTCGGATTCTCAGAATGATCCGAACATCCTGGAATCCAAGAAGCACAACCCAGCAGAGGAGATACAAATCTCCGGAGAAACTGGCCTGGAACTCCTCAGGACACAATGATCTAAGATACAGCAACTAATGATAATGATGATGATAATGATGATGTGCTAGGGCCGCTGCTCTGACATCAATTACTCTCTGTTTTGCTCTGGAGTGATCAACGAAAAAGAGAGAGCTGCAAAGTGGAAGTTCACCAACATGTCTTCTATAAAATCTAAAAAAAGGGCTTGAAGTGTTTCAGTAAAAAATGTCTAACTGGCCACCGTCTAGCTTTACCGCCTGGCGTTCAAGAGTTCATGACTGTAAAAACAAGAGACTGCCAACAACGACAAGCCAAAACCAGCCTCGTCAGAGGGTGGGTGTCATGGTTTGGGATGGAGAGAAGAGCTCCGTCATCAGGGAGGGGTCCTCCGCTCCTCCGGCTGCCGGTCACGGCCCTGTCCCAGTTACAGTTGGGTGGTAAAGCTGGCTCATCGTTGGCTCAAAAAGGCTTCCAGTAAAACAGAAGGAAGTTCAACTTATTTTTACCGGTTTCCTGTAACATCTAGATGTCCGAAAGTGGAACACTGAGAACTCAGGAATAACTGATGAGCATAAACGATGCGCCGGATAGGAAAAAAAATAATAATAAAAAATGCAATATGCGGTGCATTTAGAGACATGCAGGTGAAACTTGTGGGATTTTGCCCTCATCAGGTTTAACCAAACGTTTGGGAATTAGGATGTTTTCCCAGGAATGTTTCCCCACTAAATCAGCCATTTTCTTTTTTTTTATTTTTTAACACTAAATTGTCTGACTGTGGCTCTGTCTGCGTTTCTGACTAATTTCCTCACAGACATTAGCATTTCCAGTCCTCCGTGTGATTTTAAAGCCTTTTACATAAAAACCTGCCTGCTTCTGCTCTCACTTAAAGTTTCCCCGAAACATCAGCAGCCCCGGTAACGTTCTCCGGTTTGAAGAGACTTTGGTGCCGGTTTTGTTAAAGTGAGCAGTGACGTTACTCGTGTCATTTTCTCCCCCCTTCGTTTTAGAGCCAACAGCATTTATAAAACAATTCTAAAAAGCACGAATGCAGTTTTTTATTTCACTTTTGACGTTTTTGATAAAATTGTATAATCATTCCGACTTGAGACGAGTTGGAAGCGTCAGTGACCCGTTGAGGATTTGATATGCAGATGTCGGAGAGGTTTTTGATTGGTCCACACAGTGTAAATATTATTGGTTCACTGTTTCAGTAAGTCTTTGAAATTTGACCAAAAGGGTGCACTTTAAAAAACAAAACAAAAACGTCTCTAATTTACGGTAAAATTCTGGCAGCCACAGCTGCCGCTATTTTACCATAAATTAGAGACTTTTTTTTTTTTTTTACAGTGTGGTTTTGTACTGTTGATAAAAGATGCCTAACTCATTCGTTCTGGTCATTTACTGACATGATAGCAAAATAAAATCCAATCTGCTCGGTCATGTTTGCTCCTGCTATTCCTTTTGAGATTTTTCGTCTGCTTCGTCTTTTCTCTGAGATGATTTTCTCAGACATCCGGCTCAAAGGAAATTTCGCCACTTCAGCTGCACATGTGGCTATTTTGCAAAGACTAAATCAGGCAAGATTACACTTGGATTGTTTATTTCTGCAAAATGTACTGAGTTTCATGGCGACAGAAGCCGGCTGGATGGGGTTTCCACATCAGAATTCCAACTTCATTCCTTTTGATTTTTCCAGCGTGAAACAAAAAAAAAAAGTCCAAATGAGGTTATAGTTATCATTCTGTACGAGCAAAATTAATTTCTGTGATTGCTAGCATGCTATGGCTTATTATTATAGTTTGATTTATGATATTTTCCCTTGTGATTCCAATTAGTAATTGTCGGTTTTTAGTGTCCCAGCTGTGCTGTAATTCACCAGTCTCCCACCTCTTCCTCAGTGCTGGAACTGGCCACTGGAACTACAGATTTCCACGTTTCCAGCTCATTCTGTCCACCTGACGCCTCAAGTGACACCTGCGCTTCGCCTGCGGCTGCAGAGCTCTGGAGGTCGGCCAGGCCTTCGTGACACCTGTGCTGTCCCACTGACCTACTTCAGGTCCAGACGTGATGCGAGGCAGAAAAACGGAGACAGATGTCGGAGCCCGACTTTCATCAGCTCCACTCTTCCCCCAAGCATAACAACCGTCTGTTTGTCTCCGTGTGCGTGCATTCGGTTTGACTGCTGCACAACCATGCGCCCGCCCATTTCCTCTGTTAAATAACAAGCCTTCGGGCGACTTACTCAACACACACCTCTGACCTATTTTCTTGTGTTTAATAAGAAAGGTCGAGGTGCGGACGAGGGCTTCAAGAGGAGATCATCCTCCACTCCCGTCTTCTCTCATAAAAGTCAGTCTGCTGAGTTTAAATCTCGGTACCAGACAGGAAAACAGAAAAAGTGACAACAGGCCTGCAGCCACAGAGAGAGAGAGAGAGACAGAGCGACTTAGGTGGAGTTAAGTGGAGTGGACGGCTATGAGGGAAACAGATGCAAGCTGATGCGACAGACGTAAACATGTTTTCCATCTGAGGGCTTCTGGGTAGTGATGGAGATGTTTCCACAGAACCTCAGTCTGAAGGAAAAGTATGTCTGAATCCACAGGTATGCTCAAAGCACAGGCCGTCGCCCGTCGCTGCAGATTGTGTGCTGAGAGAAAGTTTGCATCCGTCCCGAGGTCCCGATGAGTTACGACATGCGATAAAGCAAATTAAACCGTGGAGCCTGAAGCAGAAACAGTGAGCAGCTGCTGTTCTCCAGACCAGAAAAGTGACAGGAAATCATGCATATTTTTAAGCTTTCTAGGAAAAACTTCAAAGTATTTGTTTGTTTGTTTGTTTGTTTTTTATGTTTGCTTTTTGTGGATGTTTTCAAGGTAAATTAGCTTAATGGCTATAAACTTCAACACTTTATGCACGAAAAAAAAGAGCATCGTGTTCTCCTGTTTCTACACAGCCGTCTATCTGCCAGGAATTCATTTTCACAACAGACATTTTTGTTTTATAAAAAAAAAAAAAACAAATATTGATGCCACATGTCTTAGAAACATCCATGCTGATTGATTCAATCCCCTGTGCTAAAAACAGATTCAGACACACTCATAAAAGATCAAGGATTCACTTGTTCAGACCTCATTTAGCAGGGAATCGTGGCTAGTTTAAGAGCTTGAGTGCACTGAAGAATCAGATTCTGATGTGACTTCTCTTAAGCTCCAGCTAAAATGACTTTCTACAATAAACATTGTTAAAGTCAGATGTTGCTGCTGGGCACATTTTACCAAATAAGCAGCTTTTCATGAGTAATTTTGAAAAGGCAACATCTGCGGGTGGAAACTACTGAAGAAACTCCTTTTTGAAACTCTACAAAAAGACAAAGTCTTTATTATCAAGGCAGATAACGACTCCTTATCAAACTAAAATATTGCTAAGCAAGCCCTTCCTGAAAGGCAATATTCAGCAGTTTAAAGGAAATGCGAGCTTCAGCGTATCAGGAAGAAATGCAACTAATGCCAAATGTTGAAATAAACATATCACCTCCTGTAAACCTGCATTTTCCCCGTTCAAAAAAAGATTAATAATCAAAACGTTACTTTCATGCAGGCATGAATGCACGGCATTCATTAGCACCAGATCTTTTAAGTCCTGTAAGCTGCGAGTCGGCGCGTTGCTGGATCAGACTTGTTTCTTGAGCACATTGTGCAAAAGGACTGATTGGACTGGGATTGGGGAATTTTAGAAATGAGGTCAACGCTTGTTGGACTTGTTAAAACATTTCAGAACCTCTTTTAGCTTTGTGTCAGGGGGCATTAACCTGCTAAACGAGGTCACAGCTAACAGGAGATACCGTCTGTATCGACGCTAAGCTAGGCGGCTCATGTCGAAGTAAAATCCACATGAATGACGGGAGCCAAAGTGTCACAGCAGAGCACTGATCAACCCATCAAACTACAACTCTGACTTAAACCAACCATCCAAGCAACAAAAGAAAACATGATTTTTAAGCCACTTCCAATTGCTCCTTTGTCCCATTCTGAGGCTAATTTGTTAATTTGTGAAGAAAATTTTGCGTGATAGCTCCAAAGGAAAAACCAAATACGTTCCGTCTCCAACTAACCTCCCCCCACCCCACCCCACCTCGACCCCCAAAAAACTACGACCTACATCTCTTCAAAGCATAAACACAGTTGAGTTCTGGTTCTGGATGGATTCAGAAGACGATTTGCTTCATTATCTGAAATGAAAAGCTCCTCTCCTGGGCCCAGACTGATCCATAAACACAAGTCAGACCCTCTAACGTTCTCATGCCACCCTGCAGATGTCCACCCAC